TAATCAAGGCTGAGGAGAACAGTGGCAGTTGGTAATTGAAATTGAAAATGGTCCTGAATGTCCCAGACTCTATTTCAGCACCTTTTATCTCCTGCTAGGAGCCTTGAAATACACCTCTTGTTTATCTTCCAAGCAGTAGCAATCAAGTGGGGGAGAGTCAAGCAAACTGGAATAAATAGGGAGTAAAGGCAATTTTTTCTTTTTATCAGATACTGTTGTCTATGTGGAATGGACTCATTTCTCTGGGGTAGTCAGTTGTGTTGCTCAGCAGGGTAAATGCTGTTCTGATAACACCACTGTTATTCATGTTAGAGTAACAAATGCTGTTCTTTTCCCCTTTCCCAAATACACATACACACTTGAACAGATACATATATGCAGATGCAAGCTCACAGAAGCAAGCCAGTGCACATACATGTATATATTTATGCCAAATGAAATACAAATATCATACACATTCATGATCTTAAAGGAATAAATACTTCTGCCAGATGCACTGTTAGAACCTCTGAAAACAGATCTAAGAGCCAATGCCTCTCTTGCTCCAGAAATCTTAGCAGTATATGGCATAGAGCCAGAGTGTGCATTTGACTTCTATGTCTTTCTATTAGAGAGCCTAAACCTACTATTGCATGTCATGCTAATCTGTGCCGATACAAGGTTCCAGCGGAGACCTTCCACACATTACATTATTAAATACTGAGATTAATAGGCCAGGCACAGGGCAAATGATTTTAAGGTTTACTGTTGACTGATATGCCTTTCTTCACTTAGCTAGCTCTTAAAAGTATTTTGTATCCTACCTCAGTTTTACTTAGCATTGCTTAACAGAATAGTGTCCTGCCTATTCAATAGAACATTGTCTGGGATTACTACCATTGAATGTCTCAGGAGTTCTCTTTCAAGTACTTGCACTGCCACAGATAGCTCTAGAGCCCATCAGAAACAAGAACTTTAGGAAGAAAGTCAAGGAGGAAAGTCAGTAGAATTAGATCAGGTAATTTTCCTTCCATACTAATCATTTCTGTGCAAATATAACATTAATGCTATGTTTTATTTCATTCTGATGGCCAGAGAGTTAGGTAAGGAACAGACATTTTTATGGTCATTTAACAAGCAAAAATCCAATATTTTAGTAAACTATGATAGTTGGTAAAATTCATTTAAAAATTCAGTAACTAGACAGAAAGCTTCTTTGTCATGTAACTGGCTGTATCATGTCCATTTCTATAGACTTTCCTGTCGTGTTATGTTATTTTGTATATTTCTTTAGGTATTGGTACAAGAATCCTTGGCACTCTTAATGATATATTTTGATAAACTTATGTAGCTAATTTTGACATTTTTTAGATCGCCAGTCTTTTCAATGATGGATAATGCAATGTTAATTCTGTATACGAAATGTTTTTCCAGTAGCTGGGAGATCTTTTTCCACATTAACTTTAACAATTAGTTGTTTAACCTACATAGAATTTATTTTGAGGGCATTGGAAACTATTCCCACAGTAGATAAGCATATTTTCTGAAAATACTTTTATTTCAAATTCAATTTGGAAAAGTTTTGTTGAACGTGTTATTTTAGGGTGAAGATATTCTAATATTTAAAAGATGATATTGCCTTGTCAATCTGTTTGTTGCAAACTCATGCACAAGTCTCAGCTGCTGTTATTTTAAGGTCACTAGGACATTTCTTACTAGATTATTAGTTTTCAGCTATTTTACAGTGACTGGCCTGAGCTGTGTTTTGCATTAACTTTGCTAATTGCTATGACACACTTGAAACACTGATCTGATATCATTCATTACTTTTAGCAAATTAGCATCTATTATTTCTTTAAGTATTGATTTTGCCCTTTTTTAAAAAGAATGAAAAATAGTGGTCAGTTCCCCTCAACATTTGGGCTGGTCTGTTGCTCATCTGTGTTTTCCATCTTGCCTTTAGCATTTATATTTTCTCCCAATCTAGCTTTGGGTTTACTAACTAACAGCTCTTAAGCCATGTGCACCTGCTATCAAATACAAGTGTCCCTCTTGAACACTTAGGTTATATTTTTCAGTTCTAAAACTGTCATATGACTTTAATAGTGTCCAGTTCTCTGAGAAACTTCTTTGCTATGAAATTTATTTAGTCTAGCACCCCAATTTCTTACATCAGTCATTAAAGTTTTGTCTATGATCTCTTCTATGATATTTTCCAAGTTCTTATATTTCTGGAATGCCAAATAATTTTCATTGAATGCTGGACATATGTTTTAAAAATTATAAGGGTAATCTGAGACTCTTGATGACTTTATCTTCCTCTAGTAAGTATTTTTTCCTTCCCATAGACAATAGAGCATAATACAAAAATGTAATCCAAGCAGGGTTTTTTTTTTAATTATTACTGGAAGTTGAACTTAGGTGTGTTCTTTGTGCATTTCTATGTTTGTTCATGGTGCTGGGAATTGAATCAACAGTCTCACACATGCTAGGCAAGTACTCTACCTGGGCTATATTCCCAGCCCTGGATTTAGTTTTTATTTAATATTTGATCTACATCAAGTTCATTTTTGTCCCAAAAGTATAACCCTTCAGGTTAACCTAGGGAAAATCTGAGGTACCTACTAAGGCACCTCTTTCTCATTGGGACCTGAAATCTTAACACTTTGTCTTCCATTCACCCATGAGACCCCTGGAGGTCTGTCAAGTGGTAGGCACTTGGGGAAAGTCAGCTCACTGCTTTGCTCCTTGTAGGGCTGGGCTGCTTCATGGTGTGTTGCTTCCTTGAAATAATTCTCGTCAGCAATCTTCCCAGTGCTTCTGGCTGTTCTTGATAGGAGGGTTTGTCTGCATCTCATGGCCAACCTTAGACAGAAATCCTTTCCTGTATTAGTTATTTTTCTGTTGTCATAGAAACACGGACCAAAGCAGCTTATAGGAGGAAGAGTTTGTTTGAGCTTACGGTTCCAGGGGAATTACAGTCTGTCATGGCAGGGAGGCATGGTGGTGGGAGGTGGCTGGAGAAGGAGCAGAAAGCAGAGCACTCACATCTTCAAGCAGGCACAGGAAGCAATAGAATGACTTGAGATCTGGCAAGGCTTAAGAACTCTCTACACCTGCTTCTAACATAGCCACACCTTCTAAGACCTCCCAAAACAGCACCACCAACTGGAGACAAAATGTCCAAATACTTGGAGCCTATGGTGGACATTCCCATTCAAACTACCACACTTTCTCATTGTAATCTTAATTCACATCTCTTTTATAATTATAAAGTTGATTTATCTTTTGACTTATATTTAGGATATTGTTTCTTATTTTTCTAAGTTCTCATGTATGCTGCAAATTTTCTATTTGGATTGTTGATCTCCATTTCTATTTATAGAAGTTTATCTGTTATATCAATAATTGCCTATGGTAAAGAGTCAAGTATTTTGTTCTTTTTCAAAATATTTCTTATGTTTTCTAACCAAAAGCTTATGGTGTCTATAAAGTCAAGTATTCCTATTTTTCCTTATTTCTGCTATGCTTTTCCTCTTAAATAGCAAATTGTTCTTGCTTCTAGCCTTAAGGAATCCATCACTGATTTCTTCTGTACTTGTATGTAAAGTGGTATGTCAATAAGCAGTTCCAAATGGTAATGTTTCTGGAGTTGACACAGTTGGAAAGAGTGTGCTACAGTGGTAACAAGTCCAACCAGAACTTTCAAGATCTACTTTCTTTGTCTCAACCTTATCCTCAGAAAGTACGAGGAGAACTCACAGTTACCTAATGGAGAAGAATTTTGTTTCTGTGTTATCCTTTTCCTATGCTAGCTCATCTAGTCTCATACCATCAGTGTTATTCTAGAATTTCACCCCATGTTTATTTCACATTTCTCTTCAAATCCTCAGTTAAAAAAGCCTGTTCAGCATTTCCACTTAAATAAGCCTTAGTTCAGATTTCAGATCTTAAAGTGGCTTTCCTCCTCTTTTCCTATTCCACTTCTATTTTATATCTTTTAGCTCTGACCTCCCTTCCATCCATCCACCCATCCATCCACCCATGCTATGAGCTCAGTCACTCTGAGTCATATTTCTTGATTATCAGTTTCAGTAAATGATCTCCAAGAGTACAGACTCTATGTTTGAAGATAATTTCCTCTGAAAAGATTATAAACTGGATCTGCCACACTCTTCATTCCCATGAGGCACACTGAGCTTACCATGCTCTCCTCCCAGGAAGTCCTGTGTAAAATGATTTAACCTCCCCTTTAAAAAAAAACAGAAATAAAAACATCAAATATTTGTACTTTTAGCATTTTGATCTGTATTTGTGTTTATAAATGGCCTCCTTCTTCATGTTGGGAAAACATACTAGGTATTTAAGCAATAAGCGGTTACTGGCCCTTTGAATATCTGGGGGCTTCTGCTAGTATGAATGATCCTGTCTGCTACATTTACATCTTCAACCACAAAGAATGGGTGACAGCCTAAGTGTAACAGTCAGAGAATAGGTCACAACAGAAGCCAACACCATACTGGACACAAAGAGGTTCTCAGACATTTTCCTCGGGAGGCAGCTGCTTTGCCCATCTGTATTTAAACAAAATTCCCTGTCAGGAGAATGCATCCTCCAGCTTTCAGGCACACCTAAGACAAAAGTCAGATTTTTTTTTCTTTATAATTTTTCCTCAAAAGTTACACACACACACACACACACACACACACACACACACACACAACTTCCCTAAATTTAAATTGTACACTATGGTGATTAAGTCATGTCTTTCTTTTATTCTATTAGATTTCTAACTTTTGAGAAACTGTGTGTGATTATCTCACAATTAAAGAGAACTTAGGAGACAGCTCTGAAGTGTTCAGGACTCTCAACCCACTACCTCCTCCTTTAACCTCCACAAAAGATGTTGGATCCTGGGAGTATTTTTAAATCTAAGAGGGCAATGGAGGGTGAGAGGATTCTCAACAGTCAAGCTATTCTAATTCTCTACTAACCAGGACCCTCTTCTTTCCTTCTTTCAGCTCAAGGAGAGGATGCACCTGCTATGTCTGTGAAAACTCAAGGTTCCAGTGACACAGAAAATGCTACAGGTCCTGATGGTAAGTCTCTGAGCTGCCTGGACTCAGACTGTGACTCTGTCACATTTTGTATGTAATCTAGGATTAAGGGAACTATCCGCTCTATGAATCAACATATTTGGTTAGAACAAAGTAAATTTCAAAAGCTAAATGCAAGTAGAAAACAATAAAAACGATGGAAGTCTTAAAAAATAAAAAATTAAAAAGAAAGGAAAAAATAACCTGACACCTTTAGGGCAGCACAGCACAAGCTTGGTTTAAAGGGGCCTAAGAATGGCAAGGTCACAGCCCTTCTAGCTCTTTGAAATGTCCCTTTCTCTCATCTCTAGTCACCCTCCTGTTCAATAGCACATCAGAACTCACTCCTGTCTTACTGTAACTCAGAACCCACTGACCAACATTTCCCCACTACTGTCCCCCTTCTTCTATGCTTGATCTCTGGTCATCACTATCTTACATTTAAGTTCCATGAGATCCAAATTTTTAAGATTCCAAATGTGAGTGACATGATGTAGTGCTTATCATTTTGCTCTTGGCTTGTTTCACTTAATATAATCTCTAGTCCCAAAAATGACAGGATTCATCTTTTCAGTGCTTGAGTAGTATTCCATTTCATATGTACAACGTTTTCTTTATCTTCTTATAAATTCATGGACACTTAACTTACTTCCATTTTATGGATAATGTGTTCCTGTGAACATGAAAGCACAGAAGTCTCTTCAACATACCGATTTTCTTCCTTTCAGATAGATACCGAGAAGTAGGATTCGTGGGCCATATGGTAGTTCTACTTTTTTAAAATGAAATTTCCATACTGTTTTCTATAATGGCCATACTATTTTACATTTACACCAGTAGTATTCAAGGATTCCAGAGAATCCTTGTTAACCCTTATCTTCAATGTTTTGATAATTACTATTCTTACTGAAGGAAGGTGATAGCTTTGTGGGGTTTTGGTTTGCACTTAATTGATGATTCATGGTATTGAAGACCTTTTCATGTTCTTATTGACCATTTTGACAAATGCCTACTTAGACTTATTGCCCATTTTGAAAGATTTCTTTATTTTACGTATATGTTTGAGTATCTACAGATATGTATGTGTACATACATATGGTGGCCTCTGGAGGCTGGAAGCAGGTGTTGAATCTCCTGGAAGTTTCAGACAGTTGTGAACCACCACATGGGTGCTGCAAACAGAAAGTGCTCTTAACCACCCAGCCATCTCCCTAGTCCCTTGTTGTCCGTTTCTTAATTAGGTTCCCTACTTCCTTGCTTTGTTTCTGTAGCTCCTTATAGTCTGGACATCAACACTTTGTCAATAGTAAGCTGCCTCTTCACTCTTGATCATTTCTTGTGCTGTGCAGGAGCCTTTCATTTGATGAAGTCCCATTGGATTACTTTTGCTTTTGTTTCCTGGATTTTTCTCTGCCAAAAATTCCTTGTTCTTGCCAATATCCTGAAATATTTCCCGCATTTTCCTCTAGTAGTTTCATAGTTTCTAGTCTGACATTTGAGTCTTTAATCTTCTTTCAGTTAATTTTTTGTGTCTGATGACATAGGGCTTGAGTTTTGCTCTTCCATGAATTGATATCCAATTTTCATAGCACCTTTTAATGAAGATGTGTCCTTTATAAGGATATGTCTTATACATATTCTTATACCTTCTAGGCTTTCCATTGTGTTTTCCATGTCTTTTTCAAAAAATATCCTATTATTTTTATTTTATGTGTATGAGTGTATTGCCTACATGTGTGTAAGTGCACCCATGTGTGTCATGCAGTGCCCACGGAGGTTATAAGAGGGTATTGGATCCCCCTGGAACTGGACAGTTGTTAGCCATCATGTGGGTACTGGGAATCGAGCCCAGGTCCTCTACAAGAGCAGCCAGTGCTCTTAACCACTGAGCCATCTCTCCAGCCCTCCCATGTCTTTTTTTATGCTTTGATTATAACAGTTTTCTAGCATGTTTTGACATTACCATAGTACCATATGCTTTGTTCTTTTTGTTTAAGATCACTTTGGCTATTGGGAATTTGGGGGGCTCAAAAAACCTATTAGAATTATTTTTTTTCTAGCTCTAGAAAATATTAAGATTTTGATTGAAACTAGATTGAATTTTTATCACTGTAGTACAGACATATTTTAGTGATATTGATTCTCCTAGCCTATGAACACAGAGTATCTTTTTTATATCCTCTTCAGTTTCTTTCATCAGTGTTTTCTAGTTTTCATTACAGAGGTCTTTCACCTCTTCAGTGAACTGGGATTGCTTTCTTGATTTCTAGTTAATTAGATAATCTAGTTAATCTAGATAATTCACTTTTAGCATGTAGCAATGCTACAGATTTTGGTATGATGGTTATATGGATTATACCTTTGCTGAATTTAGTTATTAGTTCTGCTAGTGGGGAGAGTTTGGGGCTTCCTACATATAAAATGACAGCATGTATAAATGCTAACAACTTTTCAAATTGAATTCCCTTTATTTCTCTGTCTGCCTGGCTTGCCCTGGCTATGATTTCCAGAACTATGTCAGAGGAAAGTAGGGACTCCTCTTCCAGGTACCAGACAGGAAGATGACAGCTTTTCTCATTCCAGATGCTGTCAACAGTTGGCTTATTATAATTGATCCTTATTATGTTTGTGTGCTGTTTACAGTTCACCCAGCATTTTTATCGTGAAGGAGCATTGACTTTTATCAGACACCTTGTTGGCACAGACTGTCATGATTCTATGGGTTTTGTCCCTCAACCTTGTGCTGTGTTGTACCAGATTTATTGATTGGCCTATGTCACTCTAGCATTACATCCCTAGAGATGATTCTCACCTGCCCTAGTGCATAATACCATGGTGCTGTTGGATTTGGTCCACTACTATTTTGTTTTCCTTAGGATTTTACATTTGTGTTTATTGCAGACATGGACCTGTAGTTTTCTTTCTGTCCTCTCCATGTTCTATGGAAGTGGGCAATGAAAACCACCAAAGAGGATCACTCTGTGTATGAGAAAAACAGTTTGAGAGGTAGCCCAGCAGTTTATCAATAAAAATAGCAACTAACAGAAGTAGGATAGATTTTATAGGAAGTTAGACACTTGGGTGATTTTCCATGAGGCTCTTGCCTGGGGGAGGGGATAGCATTGAATTGGAGGATGAAGGAAGTGTAATTTTACTGATAAGCAGGGAGTTTTAGGGAACCTGGTTTCTGCTGAAACCTGGTCTCTGCTGGGGGCATTTCCAAAACCCAGTTTCTGCAAGGGGGGTTTGCTGAGACTGGTTCCTGAGGAATGCTAAGTTTTGATTTTCCTTTTCCTGGTTGTGGAGCCTGTTGGCCTGACATTCTGGGAGGCTTGGCAACACTGCCACCATTTTGAGGACCTAACATTCCAGTCTTTTGTTGATTGGGGTGATGGTGGTCTCTTCTAGCTACTTCATGCTGAGCGGGGTCGACAAAGGGGTTGATAAGGCTGGAAATATTTTACAGGGTGGCAGTCAGGCATTGATAGGTGACTTGAGGGAATTCTGTCAGAAGCATTTGATTTACAGAGCAGCAGGTAAGTTTGCTGAGCCTCTCCTGGAAGAATCTGAAAAGACATGGGGTGATCATTAGTATGAGGAGAATAGATACTATGGGGGCAAGGGAAGCCCAAGGAGAGACTCCAGAACTCTATGCAGTCCCTATGGGACTGAGTCTCTGAGCAATCTCATTTAAGTTTTTTATCCTCTCTTCCACCTAGCCTGACTGACAAAATAACAGCATTCCTCATTAAGGAAGAGGCAGGTGCCTCTTTCTCTGCAGTCAGCAGGTCAGTGGCTCTCAGGTTTTGAAGGACATGATTGGTTTTGAAGTATTTGTAAGGCCAAGGTTGATTCACTGAGGGTGTCTTCTAGCTGGGTAGGAATCTGTTGAGACAAATGCATACTATGTCCCAGTCCCCCTGCAGCCACGCCCACAGCGGCCACTGAGATTGCTAAGCTTACTCCAATCATAACTGGGAGGAGTACAGCTTGCTGCATCCTGTGTGTGACCTGGAGAAGAGTGAGAAATTCTCCTTTTGTATGTAGGGTAAGTTGAGGAACCAGGAGGGTAGGGAAGCAAAGACCTAGAGTGGTTTGATTTATGCATCAATAGAGTTTAAATTGACACCCAAAGAGGACTCCCTTTGGGGATTGGAGGATCTTTGTAACGGAGACATTGGCATGGGTGGATGAAGGGCAAGGGGGAGGATATGTGTTACAGAAATAATCTCCTGGTACTCTTTGAGAGTATAGGGGTATTGGTGGGGCTGAAGGAGATGATATAGTTTCAAGATTACAGGGTTTAGAGATATGTTAGAAAGAGGAATTTCCGCTGCAAGGGGGCACAGGGGAAGCAAGAGGTTATGCTGAGGGACCCATTGGTACTCCATAGGTGCAAAGGAGTCCCAGAGATTCATTTAAGATAGTCATCCAAGAGATTCATTTAGGATAGTCATCTAAGATGAAGGAGTAAAGGAAAGGCCCCTGAGTTTGGAAATTTCTAATTCTAAACTGGCTGTTGACTGTCTGATGTTGTTACCCACTACAACATCCACAGGAGCAGAAGGTGCCTCTTCAAGAGACCTGAAGATTTTTCTTTCCTCTTCCATCCTTTGCAAGTGGCCATGCTACATATATGTAGCCTTCAACTCCCATGGCCTATCTGTTGTCCCAGGGTATCTAATAGTGAAGGTGACTAGCCAGCTATCCCAGATACCCACTGGCCGGGCCCTGTCCTTAGTTGTTGGGAGGAGATGCTGTATCCACTGTCAGAGTAACGGCATCATCGGCAACTCCATGAGGGACAGCCTCCATATTCTTTGGCCTCTCTACCGTAGGAATCTGTTTGTTCATGGACAAAGCATAAATACATAACTGGCCCCCGCTGCAGGCCAGCAGGATTACAACTATACAAGCAGGCCTCCTTGACATTAAAAGTGAGGTGGATATCAGAGCCACATCCTGAAGAGGGACAAAAGGTATAGTTAAGGAGTTCTGGGGGG